CCTGGCAGGGGTCTAGATGTGATATCTCTTCTTCTGAGTCCTTAATTTGGGTTCTCTCTTGCCATTGTGACCCTGTGCTCCTGTGTGTTTGACAGGCTGTTGTCTCCTATGATAGGCTGCCAGGGCCAGGATATTATTTGGGCTCTCCCACCTGCCACTGTCTCTCTGTACTCTGTGGATGTGCAGATGAGCTTTTATCACATACTTTAATGTGACCAAGCTAGTTGACACAACAGTAACATCACAGCAGTGCCCCCATATTGCTCTGTGCTAGCTACCTTGGCTGACAGTATCTTAGCTATCTCAGCCAGCTGGGACTAGGTATTTCTGAACCCCACTCCATCATGCTGTGCTAGACTCCTTGTAAGTTGCCCACAGGAGTGCACACAGACACCCCACCACTGTTGCCTGGTCAATTATTTGAAGCTCCTGCATCCTGGCTTGTGTCAGCAATAGCGTGGCCAGCAGGGACAGGGAAGGGATCTGACCCCTGTACTCGGCACTGGGGAGGCCGCACCTCGATTCCTGTGTTCAGTTTTGGGCCCCTCACTACAAAAAGGACATTGAATGACTCAAGCGTGTCCAGAGAAGGGCAACGGAGCTGGTGCAGGGTCTGGAGCACAGGTCGTACGGGGAGCGGCTGAGGGAACTGGGGGTGTTTAGTCTGGAGAAGAGGAGGCTGAGGGGAGACCTCATCGCCCTCTACAGCTCCCTGAAAGGAGGGTGCAGAGAGCTGGGAATGAGTCTCTTTAACCAAGTAACAAGTGACAGGACAAGAGGGAATGGCCTTGAGTTGTGCCAGGGAAGGTTTAGACTGGATATCAGGAAGCATTTCTTTACAAGAAGGGGTTTTTAGGTGTTGGAATAGGCTGCCCAGGTTGAGTGGTGGAGTCTCCATCCCTGGAGGTGTTTAAGAGTCAGGCTGACATAGTGCTGAGGGATCTGGTGTAGTTGGGAACTGTCAGTGTTAGGTTAATAGTTGGACTAGAAGATCTTCAAGGTCTTTTCCAACCTAGATAATTCTGTGATTCTATGTTCAGAGGTGCAGGGTCACACTGCTGCACAAGGCTAGTCTTCTGCTTCTTTGAAAGTTTTGTTCTTTAACAGTTGGTCTCAGTCTTCCTTCCTCCTAGAACCATGTTCCGTATTAAACTGACTCTTTTAGAGACCTTATCTGAGAATAGATGTAGCCCTGATCTTTTCCCACAAGATAATGTGCTGTAACATAGACCTTTTATATACTGTCATTTACCTTCCTATCTGTCATGAAGGTGCATTTCACAATGCTTAGTTATAACCAGAACTGACATTGAATTTTTCTGGCAGACTTGAAGGGAGGTAGTGCATGACAATAGTGTCTCTGATCTTTATAATGGTGTGTTCACCATTTTAGGCATTGTAATATTCACTTTGAAACCCTTGTGCTCATGAGACATGAGGTAGCAGTGGATAGTTTTACGTAGGCAATGCTGGTTTTATTGTCTCCTTCAGTAAAAAGTATTAGAAGCTGCAGCAATGCAAAATCTTTTTATGCTCTATTAAACTAGAAAGCAATATTTTCAGAAGAAAGTTTTGTGAACTAGCAAGTATTACAAGGCATTTCCTAGGAGCAGAAGTAGGTAGCATGGTAATACTGAAGCAGTGTGCATATGCCAGTGTGAACTGTTTAACTTTACCTTTCCTTCCGGGTTCATTTCAAACCGAGTAGGATTTTTGTGTTCAAAACACAACACAATGGAAAAGAAAGCAAAGGAAAAAAAGCCTGCATATTATCTTAGATAGTCTTCTGTCATAATAGTCCAAAACATTTTGGAGTAACTTTATAGTACTTTGAACCAGTAGTGGAAACTACTGCACTGTTGTGAGATGAGCAAATAGCATTGTTTTAGATAGCATTCATCAAGTACTCTTTTCTGACAAGGAGCATGGCAGAATTGCAGTACAGGGAGAACAAGTCCTGTACTGATCACTGAAAGTAATGAATCACTGAAAGTAATGAATCATTGAACTCCTGTATTAATCTGCCCCTCTGGTGTCTGTACATTATAAAATTCAACCATGTTGCAGACTGCCTGCTTACCATACAACTAGAATGTGGAAGATTTACAGGGTAGTTACTATTGACATACACCAGGTCACTGAGACTGAACAATAATTGCTGTATTTCAGCTTACTGCAAATATCAGCATTGTTTTTTCATGTCTTCAGTCTTCCTGAGGCTGAAGTTCTTTACAAGGACAATAGTTTGTTTTGGATTAATCAGAAGCCTTGGTCATTTGAAAGGTCATATATGCAAGGAACAGCAAAATCTCTTTTTTAAATGACCTGTGTGATGGCTTTTGTGGAGAATTGTGGGAATCAAAATCTATAGAAGTCTGTAAGAAAACATAACAGTCTCATAAACCTATTATGTTCTTTGAATTCGGGTTCCTACTGATGCAGGGTCGTGTGGAGATACATTTGATTTTCACAGTGAGTTGGTTGTATTTTGGCACTACAGAGTCTTTTGCAAAACATAAGTCTTTGGAATTGTTATCAAGGACAAGATCTCTTGTTGCTTAAAAAATTCTTTAGAACTAGAAGATGAGACACAAGCAAACCAGATCAAAAAGTCTAAGAATAAAATTAGTCACTTTGGTAATGAGAAGCATTTGAATGCACAGGTTCATAGATCATAGCATGAAAAATCACATCTGGCTGTATAAAATGAATGTATTACATTCTTAAGTAAAGAAACTCTTGTAAGGCTCTGGAGCGGAAGTCTGAAAAACAAAGCTGAATGAATTTGCTTTACACTGGTAAGATGATATTTCTCCAGGTTGTATTTCTTCATCAGTTTCTTATATTTTACATTTCCAGAATATGCAAGTAATTCCTTCTCTAAAGCTTAGTATTTTGACTATATTTTGCCTTTGAAGTATCTTCAATTTCCTGGTGACATAAGGGGAACAAATTGACCACCAACACATAATTGTTCAAAGCTAAGCTCTTTAGAGTATTTAATGGGCTAATATCCTCTGATGTTTGAGCTGCTAGTATTTGCAAAGTTGCTACAAAGACAAATGTAGTTCTGGTTAAAAAAAAAAAAAAAAAAAAAAAAAAAAAAAAAAAAAAGTTCTAATTGCTTAACCCCAAAGAACATAGCGGGGTTCCAAAAGAACATTTCTGCCAAAATGAATGCATGGTGCACCTTTTTCTGAGCAATTGTATCTTTAGTAAATGTAAGCATACTGGGAATTCTGATCTCTGCTTTGGTCACAGTATCATATGATTGCCTACTCAAATTACTATAAACAGATTTAAAATAGCACAGTGTCCATTTCTTGAAGGAAAGATCAGGGCAGGCCCAAGGGAATAATCTGTAGCATTAGATGTTTGGGGCTTGTTTCAGCTTCTTTTTCGTCATTCTAAAGAAGTAAAACAGCCCTAAAGGCAGTGTGGTCCTTCCCCTCAGGTTCTTCTGCCCAGCACTGTAAACACATGGCTTAAAGATACTTTGACTCATGGAGGAGTGTCTGGGTCTGTGGGCAATGGAATCGGACCCAGTGTTACAAAGATAGCTGTAGCACGTCTTGCTCATGTTCCATCCCTTTGGTCTTGCAGTAAAGCAAAGCCAGGTGGGGAGATTTGATCCATTTTCTGTCTTTCACTAGAAGTGGTTGTCAGACTACATCACGATCTTTTTTGTGCATGAAACATTTTGCAGACAGGATTTTGCAGATAGAGATAATGGCTGTGTTATGAGAAGGGGTCACTAGTGAACTCAGTAGCCACACAAACCAGATTCCAAAACACATAGATGACAGATTTAGGAAGTAATTTCATCTTCTCTCACAGAGACTTAGGACCCTGATACACAACAGGCTTCCCTTCCAGGGCACTCTCTCCTAAATGTATAGTTAAGCAGGTTTTTTAAGCACCCTGTATTATCCAAGGAGTGGGGAGAGAGAGGTGCTCTACATCTTTTTCTCTCTCCATTGATCATATGGGGACAGAAGAGAGATTAATATCCTACCAAGCACTTGACTCAGAGCCTAAAGCCAGACATAGTCACAAGTCCAAGGCAAAGGGTAAGTGCTTAGAGTAATCTTGCTGCAACCTGTGTTACCTTCAAAGGCAGGTACTGCTCTCATTTAGAAGGTGGTACCCAGCAGCATCACTCCTGGCTGAGACTGGAGCCAGGACGTGGAGCCTTCCTTCCTACAGAGCATGTCTGAGTATCAGGTTCAGTAGTGGCAGTCAGCAACTGAGAGGTGCTATGAGTGTGCTCCTAAGTTGCCCATTAGCTGCATTGCATTCAAATTGTAGAAGAGAGCTTTGTAAGGTAAACTTTTTCACCACAAACACTCAAGGCCCCATGGTGTTTTAAGGCCTCAAATACTCTGATCCAGCTGTAGTCATGGTTAGGGCTTGTACAATTTAAATGGAAAGTAAATTCAAAGTCAGTCCCTGTCCATGGCTTAATGCACAATTTAAACATTGTTGTTGTCCTGGTGGGGCAAAGACCTATAGTGGAATGTGCTGGAAAGAAACAGCAGAAGGAAGGCAGAATGGCTTTGAAGTTTTGCTCATAAATTTAGATCCTGATTTTAAAAGGTGAAAGGTAAGAAATGAATAAGCTGTTGATTTTATTTCAAAGCTCTGGTTTTAGATGATAAGGTTTGCATTAAAATGTGAAAATACCTATTTTGATTGTGTGGGAGAAAGTGTCACTGCTTCTTTCCAAAAATATTGAAAGAGTGTTGATGACAGGAGAAAATATTGAAAGACTGTCTTGTTTTCACGAGTAAAAGGAAAACCTGTATTCATATTATTCCTGTAATAATAATTTGTGACAGATAATCCTTAGTTTATTTGAAATCCAAAATTAAACAGAATCATGTTACCCTAGATGTCAAAATCAGTACTGTCTTTTTTGTCTTGCTACAATTCTGTCTGAAATTGATTTAAGGAGAATTTGCTTTGCTTTGACTTCTCTGTCTCTGTGTCTCTCTTTTAAGGTCAACTCAAATCAAAACATACTCTTGGGATAATGCCCAGGTTATTTTGGTCGGTAACAAATGTGACATGGAGGATGAACGGGTAATCTTCACTGAGAGAGGCAAACATTTAGCAGAGCAACTTGGTAAGAAAAGAAATGACAAAAGCTTTATGACTACTTGTGAGAATGCACAATGTATTGTCATTAATTGGTGCAGTACTTGTAATGAATTGTTAGTGATGCATTCACTGTAAAGAAATAATTATACACTACCTTCCATTTGTTTCTGCAAGCTGAGGTCTGAACTGTCCTTGTTGATATCACTAATACTGCAATATCATTAGAATAGATGTGTCCAGGGATGACCCTATGCAGAGCTGGGACATGTCTGTCATCTAAAAGTGTTCACAAGACTAGTGCTGGTTCAGAGGCTGTCTTAGACTAAAGACATATCTGATAAAATGCTCCTTATGCTGCTACTTAGATAGGAAGTACATTATGGCCTTTATGATAAGCAGCAAGATTAGGTATGTGTCTGTATATATACAATATGTCTAGATAGTTACAGCTATAGGCAGGTACATCCTAGTTGGGAAAAAATTTTTAAAAACCCACCAACACACACACACACACACACACACAAAAAAAAAAAAAAAAAAAAATAACTTCCTCAAAATGTGAACTAGACTTTTTTGTAAGTTGAGAACATTTGGGTTATGATTTGTAATACCAATAATCTAAAACAGAAAGACACCAATATCCAACTCCTGCTGCTAACAGTTCACCTACTGCACATTTACAGAAGTGTAAATAACATGAACCTCTGTTTCATAAAGTCTCTCCCTAGGAGGCAAATGTTGTCCATACAGAAAATTACGGAGCTGTGAACATCTCTGTTCTTTTTATTTCTGCACAGCAGTGATATCCTTTCATAACATTAAATGGTTTTGAGGTGGCACTGACCAAACTGTAATGGAAAATCTCCAGAGTATCATCATAATACGACTACCTGGCCTGTTTTATGCTTCAGATTTGCTGATCTCTGGAGAACATGCCAGCGGGTGTGCAAATTAAACCCTGGCATCGTTGGAGATGGGTTTGTTATTATTTTTAAATGGTAAAGGCTCAGTCTGGTGAACATGGGTGTAAGATCTCCTTGTTATTATTCCTATATGGGTGTTTTGGGGAAAGGGCATTATAAGAGTAACTGCATGGGAAACAGAGAAAGATGGTGACATTTCATGCATATACTACCTATACTGGATCTAATCTCATGCTGGTGGTTCTTAATTTATGTACATTCATAGCCACTAACCTCATTTTTTGAAATAATTTTTCTAGAACAATACCTTGTCTTAGTAAGTAATTTAAGCAGAATAACATATCTTCCTATCACATATGTCTAAGTAAGCATTACATATGTATAAAAGTTAACCTCAAAAGTATACAGTAAAAATGGCCTTAAATTAGTCCTTGAAAGGTGACAGAAAAGATTTAACAGAAGATTATGTCCAGAAAATGTGCCAATATTTGTGAAGAACTGAGTTTCTAAAACTGTTTTCAACAAACCAAAACGGTTACCATTGCACCTGCTTTAACAGAAGATAATTTTCTTTGCAGAAATACCTGTCACATTATATATATATATTTCTATAATCTGTTCTTCCCTCTGTAAGCATTTCTAATATTTATTCAGTGTAATGGGATCTAAGAAATTGTATTAAATGGAGAATGAAATCCGGAAAAAAGTAACTGTATACTTTTACCCCAAATTTAGACCAGACATTAAAATGTCTGGCAATAAAGATAAATTTGCAATGTAGAGTTTGAAGATTACTTTTTAAGTCACATAACTAATCTGAATTTCTATTCCTCAAACTATTTTCCTATAGAAAGATTAATGCAGTGAGTTCACAGGGAATCCCCAAGGTCATGAATTTAGCAAGATGGAAGGGAACTTTGCATGTGGTACAGTCACGAATCCTCAGTTGTAATAACCAATGCTTGCAAAAAAAAAAAAAAAAAAAGATATCAACACTCACGTTTCAAGCTTTAAAGCAAACTAACTCCTGGGATTTAGAATTCAATCTTTATGGAAGCAGATTATCCTCTATTCCCATCTCTATCTGCTCTGGGGTTTTCCTTTCTCAGGTATACTTCCTGTGGCTATCTCAAGGGCAGATTATTGTATTGGATAAATTGTATCTCAGATCCAGTATATCATTTACTGTACTGAGACTGAACACACAAAAGTTTATATTTCCTGTACAGCTGCAATCATTTCTTAAATTTGCTCAGAGATTATGGGAGGTGGTGTCAGGAAAAACAGAATAAGTTACTCTCAATTGTAGTAAGTGCTCTAGCCGTGTTGGCCAATTTGAAGGGCATGAGTTGTGTCTAACAGTTGGGACTGTCTTGCTTTTTTCTGCCATTGAGTTGATAATATGTCTTGTGGTCAAGTTTTAAAAATAACAATATAGATTTTTGAGTCCAGCAAGACATTTTAAGACTGTGGGTCCTTTGAGTGTCATGGCCTTCAACATTGATAACAGCCACAATCTCAGGCAAGCACAGCACATGAGTGCTGTACAAAGAACATGTTGTGAAACACTGTTCTGAAGTGTGGTTTTATTTTCAGTCCTTGTTTACTTGGAGTCACTGAGAAAATTAATACATGTACATTTTGGGTCAGGTTTTCAAAAGGTCAAAAAGAGTACAGGGCATTTAGCCCTTTGGGAAACATAGTGTCCTGTTGAGAATGGCATTATCAGAAAATTGTGCCTGTTTTGTGACTGTTAACCTCTCTGAAAAGTGCAGCCTTCAATTTTATTAATAAGTTTTAATCAATCATTTCTTTAAACTTAGTGCTGTCTTATTTCTCAGCTGTAACTCAAACAAGTGGTTTAGGTCAACCAGCAATAAGTCTCGTTACCTGTGAAGGTCTAGTTATGTAATGTTAATATTGACATGGGGATCACAGCAAACACATTTATACAAGTTTATGCAGTAATCAGTGCAAAAAAGTGGTATGGAACATAATGCTTATGGTATTTTTTCTCTTCATGAATGCTTGCTTTGAGTACTACCTACACTGGCTATTGAAACCCCAATATAGTTAGCACTTACATGCGTTAAAGCATTTTAGTAAAAAGGGCTTGGAACTTCTTGCAAACAAAATGCATGCACGCTTGCCAGCTACATTACTCACACAGCTTTTCTGGCATACTCATTTCATGCAATTCAGCGGAGTTCAATGCTTCACATGTTCATAGAAGTTTGGTGTCACTTGTCAGAATAGAAATAAAGACTCACAGACAGCATGAATTTCTTGGTATGATATATTATGATCCAAACTCTGGCAAAGGATTAGCAGGCAGAGGTGTACACATAGTTTCAAACAGACTGAGTAACTGCACAACGCAAATGGACAGTTGCATATGTAGTTTGACACAGAGTTTCTCCATTTATTTATGACATTTTGCTGTGCATGCAAATTAGGTACATAATTGTATATGTGTTCTTTGGTTGCTCACATGCTTATAACTTATTTGCTATGTGTGTGCTACAAATTATTTCAACACTCACTAGTTTTTAATTGCATGTACTATCACTACAGAGCATATTATATCTTTAAGACCAGGGCCCCTAAGGTTGCTGCAAAAGCATGGTCCTGCCATAGGTCCAAGCCATGCCTCTTGCATTCATGCTGCACCAGGTACTAGGGGAGTACTGCAAGAGCTACCCGAAATGTAGCCACATGTCTGTCCACATTTTCTGTAAGGTATTGTTTCTCCTATCCTACCTTTTGGCCTCGGGTTGGTTAAGGCTCTGGGAAATGGAACTTTTTTATTATAGAAATGCTGATGGGAAAGGACTTCTGGTGATCATCTAGTGTGATGTCCCACTAAAATCCACATCTGGCTCTATATTCTGTCCAGCAGTTTTCAGGGCAGTGCCCTTCCCATGAGTTTTTCTGTGCCTCCATGTTTTTTGCACTCTGCCACCTGGTGTCACCTGTGGCTGGGGGCATCCAGCATGTATGAACCTGCCTTAAAGTATGCTTGCCTGCTTTCTAAATGTATCCTGGCACACTGTCTCTCCCAGGGGCCACCAACCCATGTCAGAAACCAAAACAAAACAGGCCCTTTCTGGGGGAGATCTCACATTACCTTCTACAAGGGCCAGCAAAAGCCAGCCATCAGTTGCATCAGGGCACCTGCAGGGGGCTTCGGTGCACCTCCACAGCTTGTCACTCTGACAAGTAGCCATTCCACCCCTCAGCACATATCTTATCTTGCATATTTTGGGTGGTTTTCCCCTCTCAATCTTTTTCTTCTCTTCTGTTTCATTTCTTCCTTAAACTATTTCCAGTTTTTTCTTTCTTTTCTCATGAGTTCCAGTGCTTTGAAACTAAATTCCACCAAAAATGAGAAGAAAATTTATCACTTCAAACCAAAATCAGCATGCCTTGCCTATTTTGCTTTCATTTTGTTCTTGGCTCTGTCATGTATGTACATAATGATCATGCTGGGGAGATGCTAGAGACTGAATTCAGGGGTGATTAGATTTCTTCAAATTAAACCCATCTATCACCCCAGTAAGCCTGAAGGTGGACCATTTATCAGTGTCATGTGCCTATACAGGGAGCAATTTGGCATCCAGCATTTCTGTGTGATCTGATCAAGCCGTCAAGACCAGGTCTGCTGCTGAGATGGGACAGGAACACAACTGGTTTCTGAATCCCAACAGGGCTGGGGCATAAGACAGCAGCTCTCCAGTATCAAGACTGGAGTGTAACTTCACTTTCTTGGGGGTAGTGTGTACATTAAGCATCTGTGGGGACACTGGGAGTATTAGGCATCTGTGAGTTTAGGCAGCAACTGAGGAGGCATTTTTAGGGCTATAATTTTGGCATCTAAATCAATAATCAAGTGGGACTTGGCACCTCAGCACACAGCTTGCTAGAACATCAAGTTCTGTTTTGCCTCTGTGACTGGCTGGAGGCTGTGGTGCAGAAGGCAGGATCGCCAGCAGCTTTGAGAGCATGGACATATGGCTGCATCTAACTTTGCCTTAAAAATGAAAATAATTGCACTGTGCAGAACATGATTATTCATAGTTCCATCCTTCACTGTTTTTTAGCT